TGGGTCAGCCGTTTCGGCGGTTCGTTTTGTTAATTAAACCATTGTGCGAATTCGAGGTCGAAGAGATGACGCGAGAGGGTAATGCGGTACGGGTGGGCGAGAGAGGACAGCCGGGGAACGATTTTGAAAACTGCGAGTGGAGACACACGTACAATACGCCTCCGACGCCACCGTCGTGGCCGCCTCACCGTGCCATAGTATTATGCTTGCACCGCCCCTCTCCGCCACCGTAGAAAACATTGGCGCGGTGTAAGCGTTTACGAAAGTTGGTCGCTTTGTTGTTGCCATCAGCTTGATTAATGTGGTTTTATCACCGGCGAACTTCGGTGTGTCTGGCACCTCCCGCGGAGGAGGCGTATTGCGACCGAACGTTATTTTCATCGGCTTGGCTCCGCGGGGCTGGCCCGACAAACGTGGTAAACCCATGGCGACGAGCGCCTCGTCGGACTTTAGACTTTGGTTGAGCGAATTTCGATGCGGCGCTGAGAGAAGTTTCGCGTACCACATTATGTGTTTATGTGCATTATTTAACGGTGGTAAAACTTCTTTGACGATTTTTCAATCGGTTGTTATGATACTATTATTATAGGTATAAATAGTATGGTAACCTTTAGCTTCGCATTGCGTGCCGGACACAGTGGGTAGTGGGAACCACCGAAGTTTGAACTCAAACTCAAAGGCCTGCGTTTCCCCGATGCTACATAATTATGTGATATTAATAACATTATATAATATGTGATGGTTCATTTGCAAACTAAATGCGTCTCTTTAACTCTTTGTTTTATTTCATTTAAAAGGTTTTGCTTTAAAATCGCGTTTTGAATTATGACTGTAATGACATTTACCGTTAAATTAAACGGAACTTTAATGAACTTTCACATTTTATCTGCATTTTGGGTCAACTTAAATTTTATGAAATATTTAACGTTGCTAAATTATTTTTAAACAGACCATCTATATTGCAGTTTAAAGTTTACTCGTATCGAGTATAGTATGGAATGCTTATGTAGATTGAACACAATGTAATATTTTCGATTTGCTGTACTGGTTCAAAAAGTTTAAATTACTATAGTTTGTGCACTAATTAGTAATAATTACTTACGAGAAAAAAATTCCAAAGATAAACATAATTAATTTTGTTTTGTAATCAAATTGTTTTTATTCTTAAACTATGACACACCCGTGTTCAAATGAAGTGAATCTTATTATTTATTTAAAATATATATGTATATATATATATATATAAATGTATAACATTAATCAAAAATTCTTTAAGAAGTTTACGTTGAGACGAGCGAAGTCACACAACTCACAATTCCTTAAACAGATAACTTTTTACACTGTAATTTTCATTCTTTAAGAATAATAACTTTCCAAACCTTCTCCCAAATATATATGTATATAATTTAATATAATATTTATAAAAAAAGTTTTTCTCGTTAATCCACACAAAGAAATAAAGAGATAATATATGAAAATAAAACACTTGGATTTTTAAATTTATGTAACTAATTATATCTTCAACATATTTGCGCACTAGGTATATTTCATAATCTATTAACGAATGCAAATTAAATATTGTATTGTATTATTATATTTGAATTGTATTTACTTACCTACTATTTAATTTTTTATGGACAATATATCAGTATAACTTAATTTCCATGAGAAACACATAATCAAATTGTTTTCTTTGGAATAAATGGTAAAGACAAAGTAGATCTGGTAACATAGAAAGTAGACACCTCTATCGACACTCCAATACTATAAATTAGCTCATATTATGAGGATAAGAATTTAAAAAAAAGAAATACAACATATTCTAAACCTCAAATGGCAAAAACAATCATTAAACTCAATACAGAAAAATAACAACATTCTATGTTGATTTGAGAATTTTTAAGATATATTTAGACTGGACTCGCATTAAAATGATCTGTCCCCACTCGCACATACTTATACTTTTAACAATTAAGAAGTAGAGATAGACAGTTTGATTATTTACATTCGATTATTAGAATCAATAGACTGATTTTGACGGGACTTTCATTACAGACTTCCTTTAATCTCTGGAGTGTCACTGCCACGTATCATCACGATATCTCATCAGAGAGTTGGCCGTCAACAAAATGGCAGCGCTACCTTAAACTTCGTTTGTTTGTTAAATATAAATAAATCTATACGTCTGCTAAGAGATTGAGTAACAATACTTAGCCGTAATGAAAGTTCTGTTCTAATAGGACCTAGGTTGTCGCGACAATCTTCATGATTTCTACTGAGGTTCTATTTCATGAGCTGAGTATTGTTAACCAAATATAATAATAGGTTAGTAAAATAATACATTTTTTCGGATGTGAATAAATGTATAGAGTTACGTTTCAACTTTTACCGTTTTAAAATCAATTATTTGAATAATGATTGTTTTTTTAATAGATTAGTTTTTAAGCTACCTATGTATCTTAGTGACCGAGTTTTATCTAACATCTTTAATTTTTAAAACACTTCTGTCTGTTCCATTTACTTGATTTGTTATGTGCAATAATGAATATATCTAAACAGCTGGTGAAATTATATTATATGAGTATTTGACTACATAAGTTCAAATAATTTAACATTTAAATGCCCTGATAAATATGATTTTTCAGAGTAAAAAAAAATTGTTAAGTGTTGAGTAATATCATTTTTAAGAAGAAAATATTACAATTTTAAATTCATTAATTTTTGAGGGGTACATATTCACCAAAATATAGTTTTAAAAATACACTGCACGGAGGAAATGTAAAAGCTCTGTTAAACTTAAAGTCGAAACTTTTCAAATAAATGTCTAAATAAAATTTTAAGAGAAAAAGTTGAATAGCCATCACCGTTCCAAGTGTTATTTATGTAAAAAAAATGGTATGATGATATATATACCTATATTATTTACAATATACGTCATGTATGTATGCATTATTTATATTTATTTCTCAACATACGTATCTTTGAAGGAAATTTATCACGCATACGAGCAATGAGCGGTCTTTTATGCCACTACGCATAAGGCCATTGTCCTGGACTGGTGAAACTTTCCGAACTTGAGATATAGTTTGCGGGTGTACTTGACTCGAATACGTAATACATACAGCTTGGGGGATAATCATCTCCGTGGGTGTGACAAGAGTTACGATCAATGTATTACATCTTTCAAAGAAATTTTTATTTTATAAAAAAATAAAGGCGTCTACTGTTTTATCTGATGGATCATTCGGCTGTGGTGGTAGGTGGTGGCGGCGGCTAAAGAACGAACTCCGCAGGGCTTATATTATTCATCTAATACAACAGTAACTAGAATTGTCAATCAGATAGACTTCGTGATCCGAAATAACGTAGAAATTGCTTATATTGATCTCTGATTGATGGCCAACGAAAATGATTAAATTATCTTAATTCCTAGAAAACCTATTCTATATAATAAGTATTTCAAACATCTATTACTATTCACTAATAGTATCGACAAATCGTTTCTTAAATATTTTATAATTTATCAAAAATCATAAACTTTATTCTACAATTATAATTGTTAAACTAAATAATAATATATTTTGATGACCAAAATTTGTTCAAAATAGCAAACATCTAAATGTACAACATTATTAATAAATTGTCTTAATGCTTCTACCCCTAGTTGTGCATTTCGGTGGCCTATTAGGATGGGGGGGAGGGGAGTGGTGGTGTCGAGACATTTGAGGACCCTTCGTCTTCTACCCCCCAATCATGTCGATACCAGTCCAGTATATCTTAGTTCGTAGCGATACATACTTACATGATATAAACTTAAATCAAGTTGGTAAACACAAGCTTTTTATGGGCCTAATCAGTCACACTGCAACAATACTTTATATTAAAGAGTAACACTATGATGGTAATATACCAAGTGATGGCTATAAGTTAACTCAAGTGAAGCAATCAAAACGGGGAGATACTTGGTGCCCAAATAATAACATCAAATTGTCAGTTATATATAATTAGTATTATTATGTTTGTATGACTGTACATATTATGCCGTCGCCCTGATTGTCCACCTTTTAGTTACTTCAAAACTATTGCATAGATCAGATACTATATTATGTACTCTCAATATTATATTCTTACTTTACGTAGCATACTATATATTCATAGACCTCATTCTACTTGACAAGCAATGAGCTAACGAAAATCGTAACGACATAGAGGACGCTCGTTCTTTACTCGTTTACCAAATATGGATGGTAGTGCGGGGTAGAAGGGTAAAATATATAGATATAAAGATTATCGTGTTTTGTCGTCAAGACAGCCTGCATAACTGCAAACGAGATATTTGTACTCCTCTCGTAATGCTGTTGTTATACTGAGTTCTTTTCTGATGGTAGTATAAGGCCTATGACTATATTACATACTGCTTTTCATTTTTTTTTTTTTTTATAAGAAATATACCATCTGTACCCAGAGACACAATAAGAATATGGGCTAATTTACTTTTTTTTTTTTGCTTTTCATTTAAAATTTTTATTATTTAGTCATTTATTATTATTATTATTATTATTATTATTTATAATACCCAATTGTCGATATGATTGTATATTTTTATTTTATTTAAGTAGGCATAGTAACTAAATTTATACCTATACCTTAGTTTACTGAATATAAAAAATATTATGTTTATTTGTATTTTGTATTTTAAATTTATATGACTTACAACTATTATCTAATGAAATTGATCTACCAACCCTAAAAATAACAAAGCGCAACTGGTCTATGTTTTTTTAAATAATTGAGCTCATATTGGTACATGAAATGTTCATTAAACGCAATCGGTAACCTCCTGTGTTGTGAACCGTGGTTAAGTTTAATTTGGAATCAATTACTTTTACAAATCCTAATCAATAGTAAAAATGTAAAATACATATTCAAAATATATATTCAAATTTAAAACTTATTAAAATTGACAATAAATTAAATTTTGTGAATCATGCTGCACATACCTCATAAACAGCTCCTAAGGGCATGACTAAACATGCTACCATTAAATCGGCGACCGCTAACGAGACAATGAGATAGTTGGCCACGTTTTGTAAATTCCTCTCCAACAAAATTGCTGCAATCACCAACGCGTTACCTGCAAATATTATAATTGTGTAATTTTAATTTATTTCACATACAAGATATAAAGAACAATGCTGGTAGTTTTGGAATTTTATGATGTTTAACAATAGATATAATATTATAAATAATTTATTGCATTGCGTTTATGAATTCCATCTCGTATTTTACAGTTTTTAAACCTTTTGGTAAAAATAAAATAATAATAATGATTATTATTTTTTTAATAACAAACATAATGGCACGGGATTATTCCTGGAAATTAATTTTTCTCCTTGTGGTTAAATGCATTACCTATCTGTTTATAAGCCTATATTAGTAATATAAAGACAAAAAGCTGTGTAAAAATAGCATTATAAAAATATAAATCTACTACCAGTTTTATCAGTAGGTTTATACTTATAGACAAATTTAAAATTTATATAGACTTGAATTTGTATATTAGTTATTTAAGTTTATGTTGAATTGTGTTCAAAATATTAATTGTATACAAAATAAAAACATCCAGACACGAAATGGATCGTTACTGTTGCATATATTTAAATTTAACCATCGAGAAAAACAAATAATTACTCGATTCTGGAACGAGTGAATAATTAATTTAAATGTGAGTTAATATATTGTTATATTCGGCAGTGAGTACACGAATTTAATTAAAGATTTTGGCAATGTTACAAACTATTGAATGAAAACAAAAGTAGTTTTACTATCACTAGTAAATTAAAAAAAACCAATTATATTTATTTGTCCATTACAATTAATGCCTTGCATTTCTTGATAACAATAATAGCAATAATAAGTACAAATATCGACACTTTTCATGAAAAATAAAAATAGATGACCTGAGTCTGTGGATTTGTTTGCCGACAATTAAATCTTATTTTACGACACTAACATTATAGTATTGGTAATAGGTACTTATTTAAGCTACCTACTAAATGGTAGTATAAAGTGCAGGTAGTCGTAGAACGATTTAACAGCCGATCAATGCACTATTATAATAATAAGCAATACGACAATCCCATGAGCCTCAGATATTTGATAATACCTATAAGCACACAAATTACAATAATATATTTTACCGTGCGTAGATATTTTAGCACAAAGTGGCCTGAGCATAAATTTATTCGTATACCTACTTATACATTTCAATCGGATGTGATTTGTACTTATTTCCCCCATATTATAAATATCCTTTGACAATAATAAATTGTATAATAATGTAATTTCACATTGTCGAGACTCTAAAAAATAACATTTATTTTACATAATGTTTACATTTTGTTTTTAAATCGAATGAGAATCGCATTCTCAACGTTTATTTTTATCCATAAGCTCTTTTATTGTCTATACTACCTCTTTCGTCTGGTTAATCTTAACGTTTGTATTATGTTCATTTTATTTAGCCATTGCTACTTTCGCATATACATGAAAATAGTTTTTTTTTCATTTTTGGCCAATCGCTTAGCATATAAATTATCTTTCACAAATTGAAACAAAACGAAGAAAATAAATTAATATTATACTACAATGTCGAGGAAATGGTATAAAACATTAAACTACTTAATATTTTAAGTTTTACGTCATTGCACTGTATCTCATTCGGAATGTACAGTTTGGACTTTGAGCAGAACTATTAAAAACTATAAAATATGAATTTGAAAAGTCAAATTATAACTATTTTATTTCAAACAATTAGTTTTATTATTCTACTTTATTGTTTTTCGTAGTTTTCTTTTTAACAAACATATAATTTTTGTTGTAGGTATTTGTAAGAATTAACGTTCCTAATATTCAAAAGATATTGAATAATAAGGCCAATGAACTGAAGAGATTTACGATAATATACTCATCATAAGACTTTAATTTATGGAAGTATGATCCATTATATTCATTTATTAATTAATTTTTGCATTTTGATTACCTATACAATTTTCCTTATAATTACATTGTTTATCAACTAAAATAATAAATAATTAAAGTGTAAAAGATGAATATTTATGTATTATATTTTCTTCAGACGTTATAAATATTCAAACCCACTTAAGCCAATTCGATCAGATAGGCAAAGTTACTAGTATAAACAAAAAGTGTATATATTTTTTGTTGTTGACTCAAAATGGTAAAAACATTACATAGGTATGTTAGTTATCAAGTGTATAAACGTGTATAATAAAAAGTGACAACTAACTACCAATATCGATATATTATAAAAACGTATAAAAGCTATACCAGTATAATAATAATTTCAATGTAGTGTATATAAATAATTATAATTTTTTATAACAATTATAATTCAAAAAAGTTAACCAAAATAAAACAATAAATATTTCGGTATGAGATGATACGCTTAAAAACAATAGCACATTAAAATCATTATTATTTTTGGTAAATATAGTAGTTATAATATGAAGCTCTTTCCTCTGTGAAACAAAAACCATACACTTTGACAGTATTCTTATTGTAGTATTCTATAGTCACTACAGATAGTACTTGTGTTAGTAAAAAGTTGATAAGTACATGTGATGTTAAAGTAACCATGGGCATATTATAAATACGACCGAAAGGATCTCATAAAACTGTAGCTATTATATTATACGTGAAACAGCGAAAGCATATTTAACTACAGAGTTATAAGTATATCCAAAACGCTCATTGTGTTGTTAAATGCCGCATTTTAGATAAACCACCGAGAACAGCAAAATATGAAAGTGTCTTATTTACTGAAATATCATTTTTTGCGTTTCATTTTGCCAGTAGTATACAACAAAACCCGTGCTAACATCCCGCCATGATCTTATATACAACTATAACACTTTTATATTCTTTTATACTTTTTGATTATTAAAAATATGTTACATATAGCATTGTGTATAAATATCGCGTATATAATTATACTTCATTTTAATGAGTGTTGTGTACATGCACGGTTGTCAGCAATGTTTGAAAAAACCAATTGTATAATTTATCTAACCGTGGAATTCATATTTAAGCAAATCTCTTGTGTAAATAGATGCGACGATGGTAATATAAAAATAATATATTTTGTAATAGGTTCGTTATCTGAAAAATATTTTTTAAGTATTTAGTAATATGAAGGAAGAAATAATTAAACATTTTTAATATTTCTAATATTATATAAACTTAAAATGTTCCATTAATTTTGATAGATATTTGTTCAAATTTTTAGAATACCTACTGATATCCAAATATTTTGTGAAACGTTCGGATACAAAATGTATTTTGTTTAAAATAATTAATAAATATCTTATGGTTTAAGATTCTGATGTAAATGTTTGTGAAATTATGATCATCATAATCAATTTTTATTTTATTTTAAATTGAACTGTTATTTATACCATCTTAAAAGCATGAGCGATTGTCGAAGAGCAAAATTCACAATAGGCATTAGTTATTGAATGTTATAAATAAAGGAATATTAATAAGATAGTTCACAATATTATGGAATTGTTTTTTTTTTTTATTATTTAACTAATACGTCTGATACAAATACATGGAAAATAAAAATATATACGATTATAACTTTATCTTAATATTTATTAGTTTTTATATTTTGATTTATATCATTTTAAATAATTTATTATTTGATTGGTATGATAATAATCTACTTATTAGAACTTTAGTTATTACTCATAGGAGATTTGAAATTTAAATAACGTAATTATTCATCATGCAATTTTAAAAATAATATCTATTGTAAACATATTTTGTTTTTAAATTAAATTGTGTGTATTGATCTATGAATGAATAATTTTATAAAAACAATATTTACGTATATACAAGAATAAAAATATGTTTTTCTAATACATCCATCCCATTTTTAACTGAGTTACCTATTTGTGTTTTTATAAACTCTAAACGTGGTACATATTGAATTTTTTTCAGGAAGGAGTTTTTAAATAACTTATGAATGGAAACGTTTTTACGTTATTTTCATTCCTTCAGATCTTCTTTTGCCATTACCTACGCTAGTAACCATTACGCTTCAAAACGCTCGCAACGCTGTTGATTTCATTACACAAGCGGTTTATGCCATTAGTCTGGTGTTTTTTTTTTACCTTGTGTGCGTGGTTAAAATCAGGTAACTAAAAATACATATACGTTTATGTGAGTTGAAATGTCATAAAAAAAAAATAAAAAAAACCATTACTGGCCAAAAAAAAGAAATTTTTAAAATATGAAAGCACATCAGTACGTACCAGTGCACTTATGGTACTGTTTTAGTAATAGTTTTTGTTTATAAAAATGCCGGAAACTGTTTGATTGTAATGTTAAAATTTTAAAAAAAGGCGTAGCACAAATGTAATTTTTAAATTTAACGTTCAACTATTTGATTGACGTAGGTAATCGGTGTAAGTGCTGAAGAGCTGGTATTATGGTTGCATTAAAACGTAACGAAAAAGGTAGAAATAAAACCAGCCACCTACCTACTGTAAAAATACGAAATTAAAAAATAAACAAATAACTGAGTTTTAATATTCTAATGAATGTTTTGTTGAAATACAGGTGGTGCCAACCTGATCGGAATAATTACGACGGAATCGATTTATTCGATGTAGTATGAAAAACAAAACAATGTACTCTCCTAACAATAGGATAATACGTGGGATGCGATGACGGGTAATCGTTACCTAGATCGATAATTGGTTGTAATATGGTGAAAAATGCTTATGATGAAAAATAAAATGGTTTTTCTGGCCATTGTTGTCCGTGGGCTTTCAGATACTACCGCGGATATTGGTGTGTTGTTTTAAATCGATTATCATGAAACAAAATTTGTTGAACTTAAAGACATTTAATGTGAACGATTTTTATAAATATGATGCTTTTACCTCTTCTCGTTCACAAAATATCATAATCACTGTAAAATTGAAGTTCAACAGTCACGAAAATAATATATTATATGGAAATTATTCCTCAGTGTAACGGGTATGACCTACAGTATAATATTATAATAAGAAAATATTAGTTTTAAATAGTCAAATGTAGTTGATCAGAAGAACGAAAATATTTGTACATAAATTGTTGTATGCCGTAGGTACCTATGTTTCAGAAATTCAATTCTCAAACCCATCAGAATTTATGAGTGAAACTCGATTTCGAAGTACCTACTTACCCAACGTTCATTTTAAGTTCATCTTTATAATACCATTATCACGTATCAAAATAACCCGAATAATATTGCACCCGTCCATTTGTCTAATACAATTTATTTCAAGAGAACGATGTACATGACTCGTAATAATTTGAGTATAAAACAACCCTGCAAAGTGTGCGAACCAACACCACTCGGTATCTACGTGTTTACATAATAAAAGGGCGATTTTTTTTTTCATCACCTGTAGTGGAGTTATATTTTGATGTTATAGATAACATAAAGTATGTCATTTTAATCTATATAGATATTTGACTATTTTCGTTTACATTGTTATAATGTGAAATATTCAAAAGCATTATGTTTAATGAAAAAAAAATCTGTTTGAGAAATTATCTGTACAATTATCTACTATGCTGGCTGGCGATGCAAATGTGCTATACCGACTTGGAGAAGTACAGTTGTACCAACGCGCAGCCACCAATATCGATTGACTCACCACAAATGGTCGTCAGAATCATCGCACCCAGTATTATGCCGATGGAAATGACGAATATGTAGTTGGTGAGGTCTTCTACTTCGGCGCCAAGTGTGTGATTGTACGAACCGTTCAGAAACGGTTCCACGCCTGCCGTCGCGTTGGCCAGGACGGCGGCTGCTGACGAACCGTTTTCGGCTCCGTAGTAGTAGCCGCCGGCACCGGAACCGCCGTCACCGATGGCCACCGACCGGACGGGCCGCCGGAAGTAGTCGCCAAATCGGTCACCCGGGGCAGACAACCGGCCGGACGCCGCTGTGGCCGGGTAATATTCAGCGGCACCGTCGCCGCCACTGCCACTGTCACCGCCGCCACTGTCGCCACTGACCACGTCACCACCGCAGTAGAACGTTATCGCGTCGGCCGCCACCCGCAGCACACAGCCCTGGCTTCTACTGCCGGTGGCCGCGAGTGCTCCGAGCAGGGCCATATGATACTCGTTGCGGGCTTGAGGACAGGCCGCAGGATCAAAATTCGTCGAAGCCCGTCTGAAAAAAAACGATAAAAGCAACGATTTAACATTAAAATGATCAGGGCTGAATTAATGTGGGGAGGGAACACAACGGTCAAGTGACTGTATGTTTTAAGTGGTGGAAAATCATCTTAACCGGAGAAAAATAGATGATTGGTTTTTTTTTTCTGTTACTGTTAGTTGAAAGAATTTAATAAAATAGAAAAATATCACAGTCTCGTCATCATTTTACCTATTTTAAGGAATACTTTTATACCTATTGTACACAAAACAGTATTAGGTATATGTCAATCATAGTGCCGCAGCAATAGTTTAATACTTTTGGACCTAAATAATTAATACAATATAACCACTAATAAAGATAACGTGTGTTTCAAACACTCTATGATAATACCTATAAGGTTGCATAGTTAGGAACTACAAAATTAAAACCACATTGACGTGACATTCTGTTACCTTCCTACATGATACTTATGAACCGTAATTTTAAAATTTTTTTCTAGCAACTTTTCAAGAGTATTATAACAAGCTTACCAAAAGTGAATGAACTTTATTACATATTTTCGTAATATACATTTTTTAAGCGGAAAAGTTTTTTTTTTGTACAGTTCTGAATAATTTTATTTAGTTTACTATAGGTACTTTTTTTATCAGTACAATAATCAATAACCGGACATTATAGTATCAATATTATTAGTTTTCCACAGAAATTAGCGTTTAAATATCTAAAACATTTTTGTGAATATTGTTTTTCTAATTTATTCAATAACTATAAAGTTATTTCGTTTTATCGAAATAGGTATTAGCTATATCTATGTACGAACAATATCGAATAGATATACTGTGCCATTGCAATGCGGCTTGGAGGTAATTAATCTTGATTGTTTTGCTGTGTGTGTGTATGTGTGTGTGTTTGAGTGATTTAATTATGCCCCATGAAATCGTTTCTGAAACGTTCCGAGTATGATTTGATATGAGAATATGATTAACTAAATCCTAAAACAGTAATTCATAATATTAAAATTAATTCAATTAAATATTAAAACGTACAACGTATTGGTATCAAAGTAAATTACAGGAATACGGACACAACTACAACTATTAATTGTTATTATGTAGGATGTAAAAAAAAAAACGTCAACAAATAAATTAACCATACTATCGATTGAATTGTTATTGCAGTGACCTTCATAATTAAATCATCAAACTTTGATGGATACAATATATGTACCATCGACTAGATATGTATGTCAATACTATTCACGGAATTTAATATAAATATATGCATATAATTACGTCCCGTTAAGTGAAATACTAGGAATAAAATTAACGTCAGTACAATGTACTATTATTGTACGGTACATAATAATATATTATGTATATAATATTTGTGGTCAGTATATTTGAACAATGCCGATACAGTTAGAGGCCATGAAATAAGATAGTGTTTTAATACAAAAAACATTTTATTGATTTTGGATTTAACTTTATAAACAATTTCAATTAAACTAAATCACTTTTTTTTTACTTTGACCGAGAGAAATACACTTTATTCAAGTTATACGGACATAGGTGTCCTCAGTTATAGTTATGGAATTCTTTTTGCTCACAAACATTTTATTTATTTCTTTAGTTAGTTAATTGTATAATATATCTTACACAATATATAGGTACTATATAGGTATAAAGTCTGTATTTATTGGTGTATTTCAAACGTCCGGTTATTAGAGATTATATAAATACCAAAAATATTTTCATAATACACAACAAAGTCTATACATTATTTTAAAAAAAATGAATTTATACTCGAATGCATACTATTAAAAATATTTTATACCTGTTTTCTATATTGTGTGAAACGCTAAGTAAAAATCTACTACAATGCCTAAGTGAAAGTTCCTATACAATAAGACATACACCATTCAATTCTTCAAAATTATATTGGTAATAATTGTTATGTTGTGTTATTATTTTGGCGTCAAATTTAATTTTGACATAAAATACAATACATTGTTGTAGTGGTACTATTAGGGTGTTGCAATTTGCATTTGCAACACCAAAAACATACAAATTATACGGTTTGGTTTATTTGGACTATGATAGTTAAAAACTACTTAGTAATATTTATACTCAGTTGAGAATTATTTTTAGCTTTGAATTCAATAATATTTCGTTGAACATTAAAAAAAAACCCTTTAATTAACTCTGTATACACATTTTTGCATTAGACGATTGAGGCCATTGAAGGACAGAAGCGGATGACTGAGTATTCACCGTAACATAAAAAAAGTCAGCAACACCAAAAATGCAAACCGAATTACGCCTACAGCACTGTTACACAATATTAGCTTTAATTTTACTAACGAATTCCGATTTAAAATATTATGGTATTGAATACTGCTATACCTAATCCATTTAATGACTATAGTGACCTCTGGTTTATTGACCATAGTGAGTGTTAAATTTAACTATTTAGGTTTTTAGGATCCGGCGATAGTATGACTACCCGCATTATACATTGTTAGCAATTAGTTCATCATACTATTAAAATGTAGCTTTTCAGCTATATATGTTATAATTATTATCATTTGTTTATAAAAAAATGTTTTTGAAAAATTGCTGAAATGATGTATTATAAATTGTAGTCAACGTTAGTATAAATATAAATCATAAAATATAAGATTCTGTAAACAGAAATATAGACAGAATGCAGGAACCGGGTGTTAGATATTCATCCTATTTAATTGAAATCAGAAAATAACTGCGTATTATACCAATCGTCTATTAGTTTTTTATCATACGAAATTATTCTGTCATTACAATGTTTTTAATCAGTTTAACTCAGTACTGTTTTAAAATATTTTTCCTAAAATTAACGAGGAATGTTGTATCACTTTCGGTACTACGCAAATTAATTTATTATATGGGACAGTTATGAATAAATAATATCAAATGCATAACTTAGTATTTATTCTCATAACAAATGAAATACGATAATATTAAAAAAATCGTAAAATTGAATTTAATATTTTAATATAATATCTTGGTATGCAGAATAATTTAGTCTTTATTTTAAATATATGATTTTTCAGTACCAACCTAGTTCAAAGGTGTTTAGGCTATAACACATATAATTTAAATATGATGCCATACACTCGTAACTCATAAGAACATTGGTATATGGCATCAAAGAGGAGCTTCCACAATACTCATGTTTATACTATTATAAGACCATAAAATTTGTCGTGACTGTAGAATCCGTTGTCTCCGTCTTACAAACGTATAGCAGTGTAAATTGTAAGTTCTGAATAATAAATTTAACTCTGTTATGTTTGATATTAGAGTCAACTAACTTATGATCAAAATTAATAGTAAGAATATCATCTAGTGATTTTCGTAGGTTTTTTTAATGTTTTATTTAAAGCAAGTTATGATTATTTTCCAATATTTTAAATAGTTTGCACAATGCAAGTGGTTTATGTAAAAAGCGTCCTCTTAATAAATGTCCTAAACAATTTTATCTTTAGATTTTTCAGAATAAATACTGCTGGATATCTGAAATATAAATTGATTAATTGCAAAACTAAAATAAAAAAGCGTTTAATAAGTGTATAATAATAATTCATACGTCATATTAAAATAATTTTGGGTATTACAGTTGACCCAATTCCAATTGGAATTCACAAATTTGAATGGATAGTAGATGCTTTATACTTTATTATAATTTGAAGTTTCTAATGGCGTTAGGTTATAATATTATGTCGGATAAATCTTAAATTATAAAAATTAACCAAGTATTCAAGTTATAACTTGAATAATTGAAAACAATAATTATTATGTTATACATAATGAGTAAGTACACATGTAAAGGCATAAATCATTGAATGCTTATGAGATATAAATGTTGGCATACATAAATAAATATATTCTATATATAGGTACACGATTCTGTGTATAATGATATTCGAATGACCAGAATAGTTAATGGTCCAGTCGACTGAACTGAGATTACCTAAAATCCAAACAATGCGCAACATGTTGCCAATCGATCCTTCAAAATTCTGCGTTCGTAAGATGAAAAAAAAAGGGGAAACCAACCCAAAGATTAATCGAATTGCTAGTGTAACACGAAACTTGCTGAAAACCTAACTTGCCATTTGGTGCCAAAAGCGGTTCTGTGTAAAAACAGATAAACTCTTGTGTCCGATACATTCCCATTTTGGTAATTATTGTTCGCCATCTGATCGGATAAAAACTACCAGGCCACATAGTACCTATATAGGCATTTTTGATCGAGATGAGGATGTGACCACACATTTTCCTTGAAAGGCTGGTTAAATTGCACGGATATGACTTATTCCAGATAAGTGGACCGTGAACAACACTTATATGATACAATGATAAAATAATAGTTTTATTTAATGGTTGTTTGAATTATAGAACCTAATAAGTATTGACTAGCAGTCGCCAGTCATGATGCGAATATACTTACTTTTCATTCTAAAAACAAGTTTTGATAAAAATTAAAACATGTTTGTTTTGTATAATTAAAATATATAATGCAACATTGAAACCTATCATCGTAGATTAAACAATCATTATGTATTATTTCGACATAACGATCCTATCAGAATTGTTGTGATATTAAAGTGTTTAAGTCTATAAAAAGTGTTTGTCAAAAACTTTTCATCAGAATAAACTACAATATAATATTATTTCGATGATTATTTTAGTTTATCCATAATGACTGTATACCTATTAAATGTTTCGAAATATGTTTATTATATTATGCACCTAAACACATACTTAATGATATTTGTTTGAGTTTTTTTTTTCTTATTAATAATCCTAGACATATAATGATATTCTAAAGCAACTATCATATATTTTACTGATATTTTTTTTATTTTATAACTTTTACTTACACGGATTTAGTTGCTCTCGTAGTCCCGAATTTTTCCGTATTAAAACTATGAGTAGTGGTTCTTCTGAAATTCAAAATTACGCTTATAATAC